CTGTTGTCTGCACTCCCAGAGAACCTTATAAATAGCTCTACTATTATAGTGACCCCATTGCACTGTAGCTTTGTGTTTGTGTATCTTCTTCCACACTAGGCTGTGTGCCACTTGAGCATTTCATTTTCCCTGTATCCATAGCATCTACCCACGGCTCAGCAGAAAGTCAGTGCCTGATAGGTGTACTACTAACTGTACTGAATTTCAAGGGCCCCTAGCAGGCAGTAAGGAGCCCTGGTGGCACAGTGGTTAAGCATTTGCCTGCTAACTGAAAGGTCGGTGGTTCAAACCCACCACCTGCTCTGTGGGAGAAAGATGTGGCAGTCTACTTCCATAAAGATTACAGTTCTACCCTGTCCTATAGGGTCAGTAGGAGTTGAAATTGACTGGATGGCAATGGGTTTTGGTTGGGTTTAGCAGGTGGTGAACTCCTCTCCCTGTGGATGGGGCTGTTTCTGGGCCCTTTCACTGCTAACCCTTAGAGCAGACAAAATACATGACTGATCACAGTTACCTTTGGATTTTTATCAGAATGGGATATCCCTGTGTGATGAGTAATGAACGTCTAATCCCTAAACCAGTGTTTTTCAGACTGAGGACATCAGCTCACCACCGGAGAGTGAAATCAGTTCAATGGATTGGGACCAATATTTTTTTTTTTCTTTTTTTATTGTACTTTAGATGAAGGTTTACAGAACAAATAGTTTTTCAATGAACACTTAGTACACATATTGTTTTATGACAATGGTTCACAACTCCACGACATGTCAACACTGTCCCTTCTCAACCTTGAGTTCCCTATTACCAGCTTTCCTGTTCCCTCCTGCCTTCTAGTCCTTGTCCCTTGACTGTTGCACCCCATTAATCTCGTTCTGTTTTATGGAGCTGTCTAATCATTGGCTGAAGGGTGAACCTTGGGAGTGACTTCATTACTGAGCTAAAAAGGTGTCTGGGGGCCATACTCTTGGGGTTTCTCCAGTCTCTGTCAGGCCAGTGAGTCTGGTCTTTTTTTGTGAGTTAGAATTTTGTTCTTCATTTTTCTCCAGCTCTGTCCGGGACCATCTGTTGTGATTCCGGTCAGAGCAGTCAGTGGTGGTAGCCTGGCATCATCTAGTTGTACTGGATTCAGTCCGGTGGAGGTCGTGGTAGTTGTGGTCCGTTAGTCCTTTGGAGTAATCTTTTCCTTGTATCTTGTTTTCTGCATTCTCCCTTGCTCCCGAAGGGGTGAGACCAGTGGAGTATCTTAGATGGCTGCTCACAGGCTTTTAAGACCCCGGACGCTACTCACCAAGGTAGAATGTAGAACATTTTCTTTATAAACTGTGTTATGCCAGTTGAGCTAGATGTTCCCCAAGACCATGGGACCATTTTTTTTTAAGTTAAATAGAATAGAACAGAACAGGATAAAATAGAACAGAAGAGAAAATAATAATAATAAACCCAAGTGCTCTTAGTCCATTCACAGCACCACTCTTGTAATAAAGATAAGTATTGTTCCATGAAACATTTATTTCAGTTGTGTGTGTGTGTATATGTGTAGGTGCACGTGCTTGTGTGCACTGGGTCACAGTGAGTTATGATTAAAAAAATGTTTAAAGCCACCTTCCTAAACTACCAGGAGGGACAGGAGTCCTGTCTGTCCTTGTGGCTGCTTACCCCATGGCTGAGACCACATTGCTATGTGGATGTACACTTCTGGGAACTGCCTCTTCTCCATCCACCCCTGCAACACAACCACAGCCCCTGGAACTGGTAGAATACTTTTCTTAGTGTAGATTTGGGACTCAGGACAGTAGGAGGGCAAAAATACTTGTTTTGACCATGAAGAAAACTTTGAGGCTCACACCTGCCCTTTCTTTCCACCCATGGGATTTCTGGAACCATTTTTGTCCTGGATTCTGAGAAACAGAGCTTGCATCTGTATCTCAACAAATGCTTTCCCACCCCCGGCCCTCACTAAGTGGCCCTTGTCTCCTTCTAAGTTTGGATATCTGCGTTAGCAGTGCCTCCAGGGCTGTATGCTTCAGCTCAAGGGCTCAGTAGCTCTATTTAATCATGACTCTTGCGACCCTTCTGGACAGGGTATCCAGCACCTCCTTGCATAGTGACCCTATAGGACAGAGTAGGACTGCCCCCATACAGTTTCCAAGGAGCGGCTGGTGGATTCGAACTGCTGACGTTTTGGTTAAGCAGCCAAGCTCTTCACCACCGCACCACCAGGGCTCCTCCTTGCACATTGGCTCATTTGATGCCAGGAGTAGTGCAGTGTATGGACTAAGACTGCCTTCACCAGCACTAGTTGTGAGACCTTGAGCAACTTAGCCCCTTTGTGCCTTAGTTTCTCCATCTGTAAAATGGGGATAACTGTACCTACTTCATAGAATTATTGTAAGGATTAAATCAGCTAATACATATAAAGCACTCAGAACAGCCCCTGCACATAGTAAAATGTGACAAATGTTAGTTATTATTATTTAATCATATTTAAGCCTTATACCTATTGTTTTTCCATATTTGTAGATAAGAGAGAAATTATGTAATCTGCTCTATGTCATCCGTCTAGTAGCGGCAGAGCTAGAACTTAAATCCATATCTCCTGGCTCCAAGTTTGGTGTTCTTTTCCCTTAATGATGGCTCACTCCAGCTTTAGGAACCTGTGGAGGATCAGACTACCTCCTGAGCTCAACAACCTAATCAATCTACCCAGCCAGGTGCTCACCTGGGAAACACCTCATAGATTGAGGTGTCTAGAGGGATGGTGAGCCCAAGGGGAAGTCCTTTCTTGCTATTTTGCTTGGTCTTTGGGGGAGATATGTATTTAGGGGATATATATATATATACACACATACAAACACACATACATACATACATACGTGTATGTGTTGTTGTTGTTAGTTGCTGTTGAGTGGATTCTGAATCATGGTGACCCCATGTGTGCAGAGTAGAGCTGCTCCATAGGGTTTTCAAGGCTGTGACCTTTTGGAAGCAAATTGTCAGGCCTTTCTTCCAAGGTCTCTGGGTGGGTTCAAACCACTAACCTTTTGGCTAGCAGTAGAAAGCGTAACCATTTTAGCCACCCAAGGACCTGTGTGTGTATATACACACACACATATATGTACGTATATATACATATACGTACATATATATATAATATAGCCCTGGTGGTGCAATGGTTAACAGCTCAGGCTAACCAAAAGGTCAGTAGTTCAAATTCACCAGCCACTCCTTGGAAACCCTATGGGGTAGTTCCACTCTGTCCTATAGGGTAGCTATGAGTTGGAATCGAGTCGACAGCAATGAGTATATATTTTTTCAATATGAGAGAGAATCAGAAATTTGGGTCATTGCACTGCCCACCTAAAGGCGTTCTTTTGGACTTCTAGTCTAACTGAGCAGTGATGAACAGATAGAGCCCTTATGCCTTCAATTAACTTTTTTTTTTTTTTTTAATAAAAATCTCTCTTAGTAACTGAGTATTGCAGTTTGAGACAGGTATGGTAATGTAACCGACGATTTCACAGGCTAAGCGGCTATGTTATATGCCCTATTTTTTTCCAGCTTGAGATTTTCACATTTATGTAGTGCAAAGACCTAATAGCTGTCCCTGCTTTCTCTTCCATTTGCAACGCATGGAGGGAACTGAACTTTCACATTCAGCCCCCAGGCTGGAGCTTGAGGGGGAAAAAAATATAACCATAGGGATGATATTTTTAAAATGTTCAGCATTATGTCAATTAGAGCTCCCTTTAGTTAGCACATGACCATGTATAAATCCTGTAAAAATAGATGTTTGTATGATGATCAGGAGACACAGGATTCCGAAGTGCTTTTTAAACATCAAAGATATTTTTATGCCTTCAGTATGGTTTTCCTGGCGTTTATTACAGTTAAAAAAAAAAATTTTTTTTTTTTTGAGAATTCAAATCCACAAGGGTTTTGTATAGTAATCCTTGCAATCAAAGAATTTGATTAACCCTGCTGGTCAATAAATTGCTGTGATTTTCCAATAGCCCCTTTCACAGGTTTGCGCTGGGCTGGGCTGGGCTGGGTGCAGGGACTGCTGAGGAATTCTTGGCCCCCACAGACTCATAAACGATCTTAAGCTGTCCAGGAGGAGCAACAGGAATCGTTCCTGGGGCATTCACACAGGATTAGACAACGGGCCCCAGCGCCAAGTTATAAACAGACTATGCAATGCAGATAAAATAAAAACTGACTTCAGCATCTGCCCTAAACTCACACCAAGAACTTTCTGAGGGAAAAAAAAAAAAAAAAAGGCCTGTTAATGAAGTCGCAGCAAAGATCTCACATTTATACGGTGTAATGCTGACTAAAACTAGCTCACGAGAGAGGAAAACCATTTAGTGATATTCCCTACCTGACGGGTGAAGAGATGCAAGGTCAAACAACTTTTGTTTCTCCAGGATCGTGGGGGATTTGAGGGGGTGAGGAGTGGGGGATTAGCACACTGAATGAAATCCACAAGTGATCCCTGAGTTTTATTTCAGCCAACAGTTTTAACAATAGTTTTAACATTCAGAAAAACAAGTGACTGGGACAATAATGAAAACAAACCACTGCCACTGAGTCGATTTTGACTCACAGTGACCCTGTAGGATAGAGTGGAACTGCCCCATAGTTTCCAAGGAGGGGCTGGTGGATTCGAGCTGCCGACATTTTGGTTAACAGCTGACTTCTTAACCACTGAAACACCAGGGGCTCCTGTGATAATAGCCCTTGGAAAATCAAGAAGATGTAATGTGAAAGACTTTAAATGAGAGCCATGCATTGTACAAAGTCCAGTTATCTCCATTTTAAGAGTACGGACCCGCCCTGCATTGCTTGTGCATCCCAGCTTTGCAACAAGAATATCTTTAGATATATGTGAGACTAAAACGCAGATAGACTTTTGGTCTGCACCCCATATCCCAAGCCCTGATCAAAGATGCAACTAGGCCCCATGCTCACTTAGACAACTTAGTAAGCATGCCCCTGCTTACCTCAAGGACAATTTCTTTCAGTTGGAACTGTTTTTGCGCCATCTTATCTGAAGACACAGGCTCATGGTAGTAGAGGCAGAGCAAGTCATATTTCTTCAAAACATGCTTGAAGTTCTTCTCAGTGAGACTTACTACTCGGTCCTTCCCATCGTATATGGGGAAGTTCAGTCCCTCTTCTGCCCTACAGGAGGACAACAAGTAGACCCCCACAAGAAACAGGTGAGTTCTCTTCATTGGGAAAAGTTTTGTTCTTGTTTTCCAGGAGAAAGGACAGAAAACTGTTAGAGGCCTGGCTGAGCTGTGGGGGGAACAGAGAGAGGCTGATTTTGTCTCTCTTCTTTGCCCTTCCAGACTCTTCACCTCTGTGGGTCCAGCTAGCTCTGTAATCAGGGGCTCAGGACAAAGAGACCACAGGCTCACACACACACATGCGTGTGATGAATAAGAGCCAGGCAGGGGAGGCTGCGAGGCCAAGCCCTAGATAACTTACATAGTTCTGCCCAGCCCCTGTCTCATTAGGAGCTCCATTTTTAGGAGGCAGTTGTTTCAGGCTAAAAATAAATCATGCAATGAATAAAAAAGATAGATATGACACTGTTGAGGGATTCGCTGATACAGTCTGTCAGTGTGGTGGAGAGGGAGGAGGCAGGAGGGAAAAGAATAGCATGTGTGCACAGGGACTAAGGAGGCTAGAAAAGTCAGAGAATAGAAATCCACTCCAGAGGGGGGAAGAGAAAATGAGAGGAGAGAGATAAGGGAGCGTGGCACCAATAAGCAAATGGAGAGGTTAGAACACACAAAATGCCCCTCCTACATTATTGAACTGTTAAATTACTCTAGGGAAGTAATTCAGCCTGTGCCCCTCTGGCAGGCTACTCATCCTCTACTTACTCCCTGCTGACATGAGAACAAAACTCACCCTGAGGCAGACTTCATGCTCCCTAGGCACCTGCCATCCCCACGTCCTGTCCTCCGCTCTTAGAAATCCAGCCCTAGTTGTGCTGCTATGCCATGCACACGGGGCTCTGCCAGTCACTGGGCGAGGGATTGTGAGGACACCTTTCCCCACAAGCCCTGCACATACACGGCTCCATAGCCCCAGCCTGTCCTGGGCCACTGCTGAACTTTGCTGTGTCCATTCCCACTTGAAAAGTTCTACAGTCCCCTTCAGAAACCCGCTTAGGTTTTTCGCCATTGTCCCTGTCATATTTCTTTTTCACATTAATTCCTAATGTGATCATTTTTAAGGAGCCCTGCTGTCGCAGTGGTTAAGCGCTCAACTGCTAATTGAAAGATCGATGGTTTGAAACCACCAGCCGCTTCTTGGGAGAATGATGTGGCAGTCTGCTTCCATAAAGATTTACAGCCTTGGCATAACACAGTTTATAAAGACAATGTTCTACATTGTACCTTGGTGAGTAGCATCTGAGGTCTTAAAAGCCCGTGAGTAGCCATCTAAGATACTCTACTGGTCTCACCCCTTCGGGAGCAAGGGAGAATGAAGAGAACAGGATACAAGGAAAAGATTAGTCCAAAGGACTAATGGACCACAGCTACCAAGGCCTCCACCAGACTGAGTCCAGTAGAGCTAGATGGTGCCCATCTACCACCACTGACTGCTCTGACCGGGATCATACTAGAGGGTTCTGGACAGACCTGGAGAAGGATTTAGAACAAAATTCTAACTCACAAAAAAAAAAGACCAGATTTCCTGGCCTAAAGGAGACTGGAGAAACCCAAGAGTATGGCCCCCAGGCACACTTGTAGCTCAGTGGTGACATCATTTCTGAGGTTCACCATTCAGCCAGAGAGTGGACAGAGCCATAAAACCAAATGGGACTAATGAGGCACAGCAGTCCAGGGACAAGGACTAGAAGGCAGAAGGGACAGGAAAGCTGGTGATAGGGAACCCAAGGTTGAGTAAGGATAGTGTTGATGTGTTGTGAAGTTGTTAACCATTGTTATAGGGCAACATGTGTACTAACTGTTTAATGAGAAACTATTTTGTTCTGTAAACCTTCATCTAAAGTGAGAATAGCAGCACAATTGGAAGAGCGTAGTCAATGTCACTGAACTGTGCATGTAGAAATTTTTGAAATGGTGTGTCTTTGGCTATGTTTATTTTCACCAAAAAAAAAAAAAAAAAAGTCAAGAAGGGAGAGGGTTGACATGTCATGGGGTTGTTAACCAATGACATAAAACAATATGTGTACTACTTTTTCATGAGAAACTATTTGTTCTGTAAACCTTCACCTGAAGTATAATAAAAGAAGAAAAAAAAATTGCAAGTTTTAAACAGAGGAAAAAAAAAAAGATTTACAGCCTTGGAAACTCTATGGGGCAGCTCTACTCTGTCTGACAGGGCCACTATGAGTTGGAATTGACTCAGTAGCAATGGGTTTGTTTTTTTAGTGGTCATTTTTGCACCTTTCCTCTTCATTAGAGATAGGCTGGCATAGAGTCAAAGCCAGACAAACCAGAGTTCAAATCTTTCTTCTGCCTTTTAATAGCAGAATAAACGTTGGAGGGTTACTCATCCTCTCTGATTCTAGGTTCCTTCCCATGTAAAATGTGGATAAGTACAACTATATTGTAAGGTTTGGGAAATAGGGATGGAAAGCATGATACAGAGAGGTGCTCAAAAATGGTAAACCAAAACCACTTGCCACAGTCAGTTCTGACTCATAGCGACCCTACATGTGTCAGAGTAGTGCTGCACTACATGGGGTTTTCAATGGCTGATTTTTCAGAAGTAGATTGCCAGGTTTTTCTTCTGAGGCTCCTCAGGTTGGACTCAATCTCCCACCTTTCAGTTAGCAGACAAGAGTGTTAACCATTTGTACCACCAAGGGAATCCTCAAAAACAGTAGCTATTGTAACTATTTTGATGGTGGAACGTTGGTTATTATAATAATTAGGCGCCCTTTTCTATTCGTTTTCTACGAGTCACCCATTGTTATGAGTCAGAATCAACTCGATGGCACCCAACAACAACAACAACGGCTCTCTTAAAGATACCATGGTGGTGCAAATGTTTAAGCACTCAGGTACTAACTGAAAGGTTGGAGGTTCGAGTCCACCCAGAGGCACCTTGGAAGAAAGGCTTGATGATCTACTTCTGAAAAATCAGTCATTGAAAACCCTGTGGAGCACAGTTTTACTTTGACACGCACAGGGTTGCAATGAGTTGGAATTGACTCCACTGAAGTGGTTATTATTATTTTTTTAATGGCTCTCTGATGATTTGGAATCAACTCAGTGGCAATGAGTTTGGGGTTATTTTTTTTCTTCTTATGATTCTGGCCAAGTTTTTATCTTCCACTGAAGGTTGGAAAATCAGCTTTGGAGGCCTACATGAGTGAGGTGAGGATGTACTATTGCAGCCAGAGAGCCTTATGCAGAGATTCAGGCTGATGAGGAGTTGTTTGGACTGGAAGCTCTCAAGTCCCAGGAGCCTGGGACTGCAGAGAACTCATCATTGAAACCCTTAACAGCATTCAGTTCTTTCCAATGGTGTAGTCTCTATGTTTTTTAAAGACATAGCCAAGAATAACAGTTTTGAGGTGCGGTTAGCTTTCCAGGTCATTAGTAAGCATTCGAGATCTGTGCTTTCTTTAGAACATTTGAGGGGGGTGGGGATTTCTGAGAGAAACAATATATGTCTTTTCCTTTTCAGGTCAGCTTCCTAAAACTGTTCCCAGTTGTCTCAATCTCATTGAATTACCTTTATTTAGAATTTGCTCCACTTCTCTTAATATATAAATTTCTTTCTTTTTTTTATTATTAGTGGAAAACTAGGAGATATTTAAAGACAGAGGCTTTGTACTTCCCACTGATTTACGACTAAGGAAAATTACCAGGGAAAGGGATAATTTTTAAAATTTTAGTTTAGTCCTCAAGCCTGGCTCACAACCAGAAGGGATTAATAGAAAACAGCCCCCATTGTGGAAAGTTCCTTTGTCTCGATCCTGGACTCAATTTGGGGACTTGTGGCCCCACCCTGAGAACAGCAGCACGCCCCCTGACATACTCTGAGGTAGTCTGGTTTCCCTCTGCGTCCAGGGGCAGATGTGAGGATCCAAATGTGGGTCCCACTCTTAGTAAGACCAGGGTTTTCATGGTCTACTTTTTATGGACCAGCTTTTTATTTTTCTTTCCTTTTTGTCTTAACGCTCATCAGCTGTTATTTATTTACAGTAAAACCAGTGAAAGCCAGAACTTGTGTAAGGCAGAAACCTGTCAGAAAAGGAAAACTCAAATATTTTCCACTAATAGAGAGTGATAGAGAAGTGGTAAGACTGCACCCTGTTAATGGTGGAAAACTTGCAAGACTTGGAAAAACAAGGCAGTCCCGTAGCGTTCTGCCTCTCACAGTTTACACAGTATGCTGTCTTTGCATCTTGTGAGTCGGCTGTCTCCTTTCAGTTTTAGCTGCTGCCCAAGCCAGTGTGGCAGCTCTTTCTAATTTATGTGATCCTGTTGAAGCGTATGTATGTTTACGTGCTGCTATTAGAGTTTTTTAGTTTTGTTTTTTCGAACAAGAAGAAGGATAAAACAAAATAAACAAGTCAATACAATAAGTGTTACTTTTTGTCACAATATATGAGGTAGGTCCCTTGTTCTGCTAACAATTTCCTTTGCTGTGAGTGACACCACCTAGAACTCCTTAATCTCATCTAAAAAAACCCAATTGCCATTGAGTGGATTTTGATTCATGGTGCCCCTGTGTGTGTCATAGTAGAACTCTGCTCCATAGGGTTTTCAATGGCTGATTTTTCAAAAGTAGATTGCCAGGACTTTCTTCCAGGGCACTTCTGGGTAGACTAAAACCTCCAACTTTTGGTTAGCAGCCAAGCATATACACCGTTTGCACCCCCCAGGGATTCACTTAGCCTCTTTCATTTGTCTACTCTTGACAGGTGGCAGAATGATTTTTCATGTATTATTTAATTTTATCTTCACAAATATTCATTTTATAGCCAGGATTGAAGCCATGGTCTCTCATTTATTTGTTAATTAAATAAATTTTTATTGAGCATCTTCTATGTACCAGCCTCTCTTCTGAGCACAGGGGTTAGATACTAACCCTGAACTCACTGAGCTGCTATTCTAGAAGGGAGGAAACAATAAACAAACAAAATGCAATCTATACATGGTGTGCGTGTGTGTGTGTGTGTGTGTGTGTGTGTGTGTGTGAAATACAGTGTCAAGTAGAGGAACACACTCTGAAAAGCAATTGAGCAGGGCAAGCGGGAGTGAGTGACAATGGGTGGGGGTGGCTCTACGGATGGGGTGACTGAGGAAAGCATCTCTGAGGAGGGGACTTTGGAGCAGAGACCCAGAGGAGGTGGAAGAGTGAGGCAGAGAGCAAGCTGCTGCGGAACTGAGCCCCAGGGAGAAGACCTGAGGCCTCTGT